AGCATCACTCGAAGGTGGGTTATTGTATGAGTCAAATGTACAACTTGCGAATGTTGTATAAGTCAAATTACCAATTGCCATATTAAAACATCAGCTGCAATTCACGACATGAAGAAGGCAGTCTCTGCTGAGCATACAGGCTAATGGAGATGCAGTTATTTCCAGCATTCTTTATTTACCATTCATTCAAGTATGTTATGCCTTTTATCTGCTAATGTACAGGAGGAAGAGTGATACACTGTCTGTCTAGTTGGCTTACATAACAGTTAAAGTTTACAGCTTAAAAAACATGGAGCATTTTTTCCCCTCTTATTCATTTTTATGTGAATTTGCACATTTCATGGTGATGCTCAGCCTCTCCCCTTAACTCCTAACAGTCATCATCATGTCAACCACAACACAGATAAATACTGATAGAAATGTGTGTGTAGTTGTTGATACATTGCTGACAGAGGGAACTACAATACAGATTTAAGAAATATCAGTTTTTGAGCATGTCATAAGCATGTTTTGTCTTGACTATATTACAACTATATTATAATAAAATAATATAGTATTTATATTATTGAATTGATTATGATTATTAGTAGAAGTAGTTTATTTGCATTCATTATATTGTAATCTTTTTGAGGCTAGTATTTGGTAGGAAATGCAGACGTATTCACCTGTAAACGCATACTGAACGACATACATGCACATTTACCATTTACCTCACCATATAAAAAAGTAACTGTTGATAATAATAATAAAGAACAGGAATTATATTTGCAAAGTAGCCTACTTTGTTTCCAAAAAAAATGTTTTCACTCCTGTCGGTTAGGGGGGGCCTCATCACAATGTCGCTTGGGGCCCCAACTTGGCCAGGGGCGGCCCTGCACACACACACACACACACACACACACACACACACACACACACACACACACACACACACACACACACACACACACACACACACACACACACACACACACACACACACACACACACACACACACACACACACACACACACACACACACACACACACACACACACACACACACACACACACACACACACACCACCATTTGTATTGTATTATTGTATGAGAGAGGTTCGAGGTTGAATTGAGGCGAATATTTGTAATGTTCAGAGGTTGTTGTGTTTAATATTCATGAGAATATTTGTCATTGTTCAAATGATAATAAACATTAGCATAAAGCATATTTGTCCACTCATATGTTGATAAGAGTATTAAAAACTTGAAAAATATTCCTCTAAGGTACATTTAGAACAGATCAAAAATGTGCGATTAATTTGCGATTAATCGCGATTAACTATGGACAATCATGCTATTAATCGCGATTAAATATTTTAATCGACTGACAGCCCTAGTTTTTTATTTTTTTATTTTTTATATGTTTCTAGTTATTGTGCTTTTTATTATGTTTTTAATTCTCCCATTGTGTTATTTAATATTGTAGTTACTGCCTGTACAGCACTTTGGTCAACTGAAGGTTGTTTTAAATGTGCTATATAAATAAATAAAGATTGAGATTGAGATGGGCAAGGAGTGGACAAAAATAGAAACAATCTAAATTAGATTTCAGTAGAGTTGCAGTAGATAGTAGTCCAAATGTATTGACCAATAGTGCAGAATTACGTAATCTGGCCAGGGGAAAAGTCCTAAAATCATGACGACGTATTGCAATTCTAAAGTCATAACAAAATCATGCTTTTTGGTATATAATTTCTATTTTACGTATTTATTACATTATGCGTCTCTCAGAGGAGATTTCAAATTTTAAACAATTATTCGGTTTTATTTAATTGATTGCATTTGACATCAGATGTTATTTTTAGCTTTACCAGTGGCATGCTTCTCCGATTCGCAATGTCTCTCAGTTTACTGAAACAAACTATTCAAAGCATGTGAAGACCCGATGTTTTTACTTTTGTGATAGATGAACATCTCATTTCAAATCCATTACTCTGCAGCTAATAACAGTCTTAATTGTCTGTGAGGGTTTTCTACTGGCCTCAGGGAATCAGTGATGTCAGGTGATGTCGGATGTTAGGTGCTAAACCAAGACCTTGCTTGCAGTTGGTATTTCACTATATATCACATTTGTCGAATGGGTTGAGATCAGAGTTGTGTTTAGGCCACTCATGATATTGAATATTAAACTAGAAACACAGAAGGAAGGAACTGTCATGTTGAAACAGGATGTGGTTTGGATCAGGGTCATATTCAGTGATCTGTGTGTAATAACTATGGCTGACTAACGTAGAGTACATCCTCTCCTGCACACAGGCCTGCTGTGTGTAATTAGGTCAATAAAGCTCTTTGCTGGCAAACTCGTGAATTATTGATTAGATATAGTCTGCCAATTTGGCAACTCCACTTTGATTGGAGTTCATTTACACTGGAGACATTCTGTATAATGAGTCAGGGCTCATGGTTTTAATGAGCATTCTTTGTATGTGAATATAAATTAGTTACAATAAGCCTGGTTTGTGATCTTCAGAGAGTCATATTATTTTCAGTTTTAAATCAAAAACTTGAATCGTTAAATTATACTTGTAAACACATGAAAGAGGCAGAATAGATAGAAGATAAATAGTTATCATTTTAATGACCTCTGTCTATTACGAATATTAAACATAATTATAATAATTAAAGGCATTCATTCATAATCAAAATGCTTTAAACTAATAATAATTACATGGCATTTTATAATGAATTTTAGATAAATTGTATAATACTTTCTAGTTACACTAAGATTTGTGTTGCAAGTCTATGCATTTTATGCATTATAAACACAATGCGTTATACATATAGTAAATGATTATAATGCAGTACATTTAATTATAAAAAGATAATTATGTATTACAATTATTGGAATAATAACACACTATAATCCTAACAAGAAATGTCAAAAAGGGACCAGCAATTATGAAGTATATGATACATTTTAAGTCAGTATTACATGCTCTTCATGTGTCATGATGTTATAAAGCTATATGTGTCTATATGTATAATAAGACTGCCTTTTAAGAAAATGTTAACGCATTAGATGTAAAGCAAAACATGGCCAAAATAATGTCTTAAATAAATTCACATATACAGTCAATTAATGGATGTATAGACAGCTTTGCTCAACTTCTCTGATTGTCTGGTTTTGCATGACCTTAAAAAGCTTGCTTAATCGATTACCACAAAGTATAATCATGTATGGTTTTCAGACATTTCCCATGTGAAGTATTATATCAGTCTACTGGTATGTGTGTAGCAGGAGGTGTGGGTAGTAAGAGCCAACATCAATTACTTAAGGCAAACAACGACGTAACTGAGAATGATTAGAAGTCAAAACGACTGGCTTATACTTGAAAGAGAAGAATGACGTACATGAAAAGCCTTACAAATGCACATAAAAAAGATGCGATTAGTTTCTTAAAATCAGTTCTAGTTGTGATTTTGATGCTAAACAAGTAGAGTTCTATTTGAAGGCTAATCAGACGTCTGCCAACTTCCAGTAGACTGTTGATGAAAACAGTCCCTGTCTGTCCAAAAGGCAAAACATTTCCAGAGAACCTTTGTAATGAATGGATTTGAATCAATTCCCCGATGAGTGTAACAGTGCCAATTTGCATCAGTCTTTCATCATTGTAAGTGGAGCAAAATGAAGTTGTTTTCTCAGACTTTCATTACTTTAAATATATATATAGTTTACTTTATTAATCCCCTGAGGCATTTCAAAACATCATAACTGCACCAAGAAGACTTCGCCTTTGGTTCGCTGGTCCATCGATAGAAAGAAGCCGGTGAGTCTGATGTGTGGTTTGGCTTTTATGCAGTATAGACTGCGGTATTGTATAACAGATACTTTTGTGAGGCTCACTTCTCCAAAATGCAGCACTTAGTGTGTTTGTAAGTTCATGAATGTCTAGACACACATCCTAAAGATCCGATTTAAACCAACTAAAGGCCTGAAAAACTGACAAAATAATTAGAAAACGAGATCAAAGAATAGACAGAAAGTGATACTCCACAAATCTTGCCAGATTACAGAAATATCTCTGGTTCTAACTGAAATGTTGTGGGTAACGTAACCTTCCTGTTTGTAATCTGGAATAAATGCTGATTCTGTGTGCGGAATAAATTAAAGAACATTGTTTGAGGAAATAAGGCCACAGTCAGTATCATGTCACAAATCTCTTCTGAATTTGTTTTCCTTTAAATGTTTTGTAGACTGTCTCGGTTGTCCACTCACAGTGCACAAAGCAAATACTAAACATCAGCTTTATGCATTGTATGACTTATTCAGATTCTTTTTATAAGAATTGTCCTAACACCTGATATTCAACTGATTACAAGTTTATAAAATTCGTCCAAAAAAAGTATGCATTGCTTCTGTTTGTGGGACCAGGAACCCCCAGCTGTAAAACACAATGGATTTACAGTCTATGGTCTGCACCCTTTTTATATAGTCTATATGGTCTGTACACTGTATGCACGTATATGGTCGGCACTCGGCATCCTTTATACAGTACAGCCTATGGTCTGCACCCTTTCCAGTCTATTGTCCACACCGTTTAGTGTTCAGGTCTATGGTCTGCACATTGTATGCAGGTATATGGTCGGCAGCCTATGGTCCGCACCATTTATATTAACTGTACAGTCTATGGTCTGCACGTTATATATATTATATGGTCTGCACCCTTTATATATACTGTATACAGGTATATGGTCTGCAGTCTGCACCCTTTATATGCAGTCTGTGGTCTGCACTCTTCATATGCAGTCTATAGTCTGCACCTTGCCTGCAAGAGGTAATCGTCATTGCGGGATTACCCACCTTTGACCTCCAGCATTGTCAACAGTAAGCTGCTCACTGAGATGCCACAGCGACCTCACCGAATCCACCAGCAGCAACCGGTTTGTCACATGACCAGCGTGCAGCTCTGTGTCTGCTGTGAGATCTTTTTTATTTCCGCGTTCACCGAGGCAGCGCCGGGCTGAATGAGTGAATGTGTTTGTACAGCTGTGTGTCTACCTTTCACGCCGCCAAACTGCGTCGCCTTGCGGGGGGATACTCACGCAATCGCATCGCCTTGACCCACGCTGCAGCAGGACCATGCTAACGCGGGTGAAATCGGCGGTGGCCAATTTTATGGGAGGTATGATGGCTGGTGGATCTAACGGAGACCATCCCGGAGGCTCGGACCTGCCGCTGAAATACCCGTACAGCAGACCGGAGTTCCTGGGTTTGTCCCCCGACGAGATTGAGTGCTCGGCGGATCACATTGCACGACCGATCCTCATCCTGAAGGAGACCAAGAGGCTGCCGTGGGCCACCGGCTACGCAGAGTGAGTATTTAACCTGTATGCGTCCATCTTTTCTTGCACAGCATCCTTTGGAAGTGAGCGATGAGATCACCCTGGATAAAGGCGTAAACATGAGCCCTTTTGTTGTTATTACTGCAGGATTCACGTGTGGAATAAAAATAAAATAGGCCCAGGTGCAGCAGCTTGCACACAAGCATATATTTCTATAGCTTACATCACAGTGTAAACACAGTTTCCTATAGGACGTGAAAACTAACAGATCTAGGCCGTAGGCTATAGTCTGTATTATTGTGATGGCGTACCACATGAAAACATATGATAAGCTGTCTGTTTTGCAACATCCTTGTAAAACAGGACATCTTAGTAATGGTTCCCATTATGAGCAATGAACTGAACCAACAAAGGTTTTATTTTGAATAGCAACAGCATGATTTATTGGCTCTTTGTATGAGACAAGGTAGGAAAGGTCTTACAAATAGTCACCATTTTGTACCCCTTTACATTTTTCATTGCTTATGCAGTTCAGTTTAGAGCCAGAAAAACCTGGCCGGGTCCTTTACATGTAACTAACATGGGACACACAGTAGATACTTGTAGAAAAGCAGGTTTGAAGTTTGACAACTGTCACCAGAATTGCATCGGACCTACTGTAAGATGATTTGTTTTATGAGGGATATCATTTTGAGCATACCTTATCAATTTGGCATCCTGAATCATCCTGTCAAAGCAGTAATATATCTAGGTTTTATTTTGAGAAGCAATAACACGTTTTATTAGCACTTTGTATATGAGGCTAGGCAGTAAAGGTCTTACAAATAGTCACTAGTTTTACCACTTTACCTTTTCATTGCTATAGTGTGTATTCAGTTCAGTGTCTAAGTAAAGCCAATAAAACCTGATCGGATCCTTTAGATAACTAACATGGTACATAGTGACCTATCTACTTGTAGAAAAGCAGGTTTGAAGTTTTGCTCATTCAATATTTGCCTTGTCAGACACAAACCATCCTCCTTCTACTTGAAAACTGACACCAGAATTGCTGTAAGATCACCTGTTTTATAATTGATATCACATCTTATGTGTGGGCGTACTTGATCTATTTGGCTCGTTGCATCCTCCTGCAAAGCTGTAATAAAGCAGGGCTGTGTTGTATTTTAAAAGGACATATTATAAACAGCGTTTAGTGCAGCAGCCTGACTCATGAAAAGCTAAGTTGTTACTTTGCTTCAGTAAACTGTGTAGTTAGTTCTGAGAGTGCAGCTGCAGAAAAATGGCATAGCATGAGAAAATGCAGACGTGGGGAAATGTTATTCTAACGTCAACAAACGCGAGAGGAAAGCCAGGAATGACTTGATTTGCATGCTAGTGGAAGAGCAGGGTGCACTACGCCACCTCAGGCTAAGATAAGAGCTGTTTCAGAAAAACAAAACCTTTTCACGTCATGTACTTTACACTTAACTTGGACAGGACACAATTCAAAAGTGGGATAAACTCTTGTTCTCTTCATCCTCTAACGCTCGAGAACACAGAGTCACAATCACTTCCACTCACGCAGTCCCGGATAAAGTATCACTGGTTGCTTTGGAGGTCAAAATTAAATCCTTCAGGCAATCCTAACAGTGTGTGACACAGCAGTTTGTTGGCATGAGTTCATACATTCACAAAGAAGAGTTAGAAAGCTCTGTTACATTTCCATGAGTGTCCTCTCCGTCAGTTTCTTTGAGTTGTTTAACTGATGACGTTACACATTCAGTAAGAAACTCACCCTATCTCTTTGCATCTAATGTTTCAACTTCACCAATCCAGTGTAGATGTCATCTTTAACACCACAAACGAGGTCAGTTTCACTCCCTCAGGCAATTGTTTTTCGTGTATAAGGTGAAAACAAGACATTTAACTTGCAGATAGAGAGATTATGATATTATTCACAACCACTATTAATTAAGGAGCTATGTTTCCTTTTCACAGATAATGGTTTGGAAAAGATTGTCAAAAATAGTGTAGGTGATGTATTTCAAATGATGGTTTTGTCTGACCTTCAGTTTAAAACCCCATTGAATTTGATTCAATGTTATGTAAAACACACAAAGCAGCAGCAAACCCTCACATTTCAGACACAGTTTTGCTTCATTCAATACTTTTCATTTTTAAATTTCTGCTGATCGAGTGGTTGATTATTTGAAAGTCAGAACTAAAACAGATCTAAGTGGGCTCTCCCTCCTACAGAATGAACACATCCTTTGAAATGGTTTGATCCTCATACCCTCCTCCCGCTATTCTTCTTTATGCTAATCTGCCATGAAGAATTTGTAATCTCAAGAAAGAAAAGAAAACCCTACACACTCATGTGTTCTTAAGTAGGTTGCATAATTTGAGTTATTATTAGAATTATTTCTAGTTTGATATTGAAACATTGCACTCATGGTACTGACGTGTCCATGTCTTGTAATAATAACTGAAAATATATGTTAATATACAGAACAATTGCACAGCCCTGCTTTGTGTGTGTGTGTGTGTGTGTGTGTGTGTGTGTGTGTGTGTGTGTGTGTGTGTGTGTGTGTGTGTGTGTGTGTGTGTGTGTGTGTGTGTGTGTGTGTGTGTGTGTGTGTGTGTGTGTGTGTGTGTGTGTGTGTGTGTGTGTGTGTGTGTGTGTGTGTGTGTGTGTTTGTGTGGTGTGTGTGTGTGTGTGTGTGTGTGTGTGTGTGTGTGTGGTGTGTGTGTGTGTGTGTGTGTGTGTGTGTGTGTGTGTGTGTGTGTGTGTGTGTGTGTGGTGTGTGTGTGTGTGTGTGTGTGTGTGTGTGTGTGTGTGTGTGTGTGTGTTTGGCAGAGCCTCATGAGCCATACTGGGGATTTGTCAACAGCTGGCTGACCAGCGGGCTTTGTCGTTGTGAAATCTCACTGCCAGTGGAGAAAACCTGAGCCCAAATGAGATGAAGTGATGTCAGGGTTAACAGGGTCCTTCACCGATGGGTCTCTCCAACTGATAACACGCCGGAATAGATACTGGCAGTGCAGTTGAACACTTAATTACAGCTTATTGGGTAGCACTGTGAAGGGCTTTAATGCCTGATTATCTTCAACTTTGCATCTATATATAAATCTTTTAGTTATATTTCTATTTATTATATTATAAAATGGAGCAACTTTCAAAAAACCCGATTTCCCTTCTGGAATAAAGGAACTATTTATATTCTTGTTTTGAATATTATATACAGCCTATATTTTCATTGAAGCAAGCATTGTTCAAAAGGAATCAGATAGGGGACTGTGTGCATTCTGACAATTTTAGTAAATACTAACAATCATGTCCAGATTATATGGGATAGTTGGCCTTTTTTACCTTTCTTATATTTTTTAATATCCTTGTATTTTTGTTACCCCCATTTGCAATACCTAAAGAGGGTTTTATAGTGCTAGTATCAGTAGAAATGGCTGAAAAACCAAAAGTTTGGGATCATGCAGGATGAATTCCACCTTCTTCTCTCTACTCTTTTCCCTTCATACCCCTTTCTTTGAGTGGGCCTCTGACTGAGCTTATCCTGGGTTATTGTGTTGCACCCTGTGGAGAAAGGAAGAGCAGTTGTGGCTCTATGAGGTTGATTCTGAGGCACAGTCTCTGAGTGCGTGCACTGTCAGATCCGGTGAGCACCATCATTTAAATGGATCAGTGGGTATTGCTCACCGCCCTCTCTTCTCCAGGCCTCCTTATTTAGACAGGCTACATTTACTGCTGCTTCTCTCTCCAGTCGCTTTCCACCCATCATGTGTTTTGTTCACATTGTTTAAAATGTGTTACTTCTGTGTATGTTTATTACTGAAGTCACACTTAAATGTGGCGTTTTACTGGAGTTCATTATATTGAGAGGTGTTATGTTCTTTGTTGTCCTTCCCATGTTATAGTGGTGTAGCTTATAAAGTGGCTACTGTGATCACCACCTTCAGATTAGTGTACACATACAACAGTCTGTTTAATACCCATTTCCATTTTAAACTGAAGTTTCCCTCACTCCTGGTTTCTTCCTCATAGTTCTTCGGATGCACTCAAAAGTGATCTATTAAGTGAAAACATTAGGACAATAATCATTAGTTACATTCCTAGCTACATTGACTTCTTAACCTGGTTTCGGTTCCTCTTATATTTTAAGCTGAACATCAATATGTATGTTGCCATACATATTCAAATATGTTTGCATAATTGGTCATAGCCTGTAACTTGTTTGCTCACGTTTTGTAGGGCTAAAGTGATGGGAAGAGAAAAAAGACGAGGGAAATTCCTCATGTAGAGCATTAGTAAAAGTTAGACATGGAGTATTCTGGGTTTTAGAACAAATAGATGCTTGATAATAGCATCGAAGACAGAGCATTTCTATCCAGTGATGAAAGGATTATGCCAAAGCCAAATGTTTTCTTATGAAGCAAAATGAAGAGGCTCACTAGGAACTCAGGGTGTCCGCGGGGTCTTAAAAAGTATTACAAGTTGATGAATCAATTTAGCGAAAATTAAGGCTATTAAAAAGTATTAAACGGCATTTTCCAAGGTATTACATTTTGTAGCTTGTTGTTAATAAGTATATAAATGGTCCAAAGAGGTTGTATTCTACAGTCTGCCTGAATGTAATCATTGCGTAGGTGTGTAGTGTGATTCTGTAGTTTATTGATGGCATCCCGTTGGATTTGACGTCATCTGAACAGGACATCGCGCGCTCACTGCTTGATAGCGCGCGAAGGTCAGTTTACGCCGGTTGTTAAACAACATCGTTATGGGGAAATGCAAGTCTGCATCCCAATTGTTGGAAGATAAGGAGGAAGGACAATCAATACTGCATATAGTCAATGTGAGGTAAAGTGTGTCGCCAATGTAATAGGTTAGAACTCAAAGTGGCGATGAGGTCTTAAAATGTATGGAAAGGGTCTTAAAAAAGGTCTTACATCTGACTTCAGGATTCCTGTATATACCCTGAACTGTTAGATCATGTTATCAATATTAGAGATTTAATTGGGTATCTAAATAGGATTCACCTCAGCTCCCCTTCTCCTCTTCGTCTTTCCTCTTTACCCCGTCCAACATGGTTGTTGGCGTAGGAGAGTGGTGGCACTAAGAGGTCAAATAATAAGTTGTGACAAAGCTTTCCCAGCCATTCACTTATTCTTTCTGACCCAGGACCAATATAATCCTGAAACCTCAGCGGCGGTCGCATCAATACTTAATCAACATGCAGGTCTGTAGGCTAAACACTATAGCATCACAACTGCTCACTTTATGTTTTGTCTGCAGGTAAGCTTCACAGTGAGAGGGTATGAAGACTGTAATTTGACATTCTCAGTATTAATATATCTAAGTGAAAATAAATAAAAGCTTCTGCTTAACATTGGTCATGGATTTACAATATAGCGAAGGGTTGAACATGTTTTAAACACAGAACAGCTATTAATATGCATGTCTTCATGTCCTTCTCTGTTTTAATCGTACAGTAGGTCAATCCATTTCTTTGTTCCTGGTAGTGTTTCACTCTGGAGGAGCTAAATGAAGTCAATGTTACCACTCAACTGTGGAGAGGAAGCACATGAGCAGCACTTTTTATGTACAAAGCTTCCCAGTGCTCAATCACATGATACAGCACATGTTTTTGTGTTTCTGCTACATCAACACGCCACATCGCTTTGAGGCAGAAAAGACGTAATGCTGTTTCAGTTCAGTGCCAGTTAGCCCTAACGTGTAGTTTAAATATGAGTTACCATTGAAAGAGAATGCTATAATCACATGGATCATCTTTATTGGTATCTTACATGATGTGCTGGAGGATACTGAGATGTTGCAAGAGTATACAACCACACAACTAGGAAACAAGTAACTTGAAGAATACAGCAAGAAAGAAAACAGATAGAATACAAGAATACTTTTGAAGGAGGACATATTATGCTTATTTTCAGGTTCATTTTTGTATGTAGTGTCTCTACTGGGACATGTCTCCATGCTTTAATGTTCAAAAAGGTCTTTATTTTTCGCATACTGTCTGTGCTGCAGCACCTCTTTTCACCCTCTGTCTGAAACCAGCCCAGTCTGCTCTGATTGGTTAGCTGGCCGACTGTGCTGTGATTGGTCAAACCCTTATAGATGGACTTCGCCCTTAGCATATCACGTGCAATGTGTTGGAGCGCTAGACAATAGAAGCATGAGTGTAAACA